TGTGCTTTGATGAGCGAAGGAACAAAATCTGCAGACGGGCACTTCTGGTTATGAATTGAAGAGGTCTGGTTGGAGGAATTTGCGTGATGATTACGCGGTGTATCTGCAGGAGATTTGGGGGCTGGAATCTTTGAAGTAATATTTGGTTCATATGTTCTTTTGAATCGATGACGAGGTGGTTTGGTTTTGGCTACAGTTGGCGGCAAAACCTCTACTTCTATTCGTTTGCGCTTTGCACCGGGGCCATTGCTACTTGTGGACTGAGGTAGGAGTTCAAAAGTATGCTCGAATCGAACTGGTAGTTGCCGGTTTCTACGGTCTTTGTAAGTCGTCTTCAGAGAGTTACCAGCGGCAGATATGTCAAGAAAACTTTGGGCATGATCCTTTAAGTTACCAAGGATCATACTGTGCATCAGCTCAATCCCACAAAACTCGATTGGACGCCAATAAGGAAGATCATTCAGAACACTATATCTAACTCCTTGCTCGTCAGAAATTTCTTTTCTTTCAGAATGTGTTGAGGCTTGAAACCAACGAGACGAATGTGCTAGATGAGATTCGTGTACCCTAGGTTCAAATCTCTTGGGGTCAATGATGTTGATGTCGTCCGTTTTCAGGAGACAGTAAGAGCAGAAATTACTAGAATTGTGCGAAGTAAACCCTGCAGTCTTGCGCAAGGCAGGCAAGTCTGCAATCAGAGGAAATATCACGGCTTTGATTAGACGTCCGTGAGGTTGTCGAAAAGAACGATCAAACCAAATTCCTTTCCAAAAAAGTTGTAGCTCATCCACAAGTGGCTGTAGTAGGCTGTTGATTTGCTGCAGAGAAGGTTCCTCCGGGCCTGGAATGATTCCGAAAAGAAATATGTTTTCTTCCTGATATCTTTGAGCAGGCGGCAGATTCAAGCAAACAAGTACAATGACTCCAACAGAGACTGGAGACTGATGCTTCCCACGAAACGGGTTAAACCAATCGACAAACAGGCTGAACACTAGATTACCGCTGATCGACGTGTAACGGATTGATGGATCAGTGGAGTCCTGGAAACTTTTCCAAACCCCACCATGCCATACATCGGACATGAGTTCGGTATCAATTGGTTGGACAAGGGAGCAATCTATCAAATCCTCAAAATGAGGAAGACATATTTTGCTTCTGATCCAGTCGGTTAGAGTGCGGTATGAGAAAGTGCGGACAGGGGTGTAAGGGTATGCGTCAGTTTTTTTGGGATTCTTGAACAACGCTGTACTGCAGTTGGTGATTGAGCCATCCAATGACTTGACATATCGCTTGCTGGTGGAGTGAAACTTTGACGTGCAGTGAGTAGTTGATGGTACCTCCAATGGTTTTTTCTTCTGCTTTTCGTATTGTGTAGGGCGGCTTGTCGGCGGATAGATTGAAAAGCAGCTTGGGCAGCATGTGGCGTGAATGATTTTCTGTGACAAACCAAGCCGAACGAGAATTGTATCGACGGTTTTTGGTATTTGTTTAGCAATGAGATCGCAGTTAGGGGGTTTGAGGAGATTCAATTTTTCAATTTCCATACGCAAGAAACGGTTAACAGCAGCTTCACTGAGTCCTTCAAGCAGCCATAGTTCAGCGGCTTGTAGCATGACGACCAGTGTGTGGGGTTCGCAGAAGTCGAAGGATCGCATGGATTCATCGGGTGGTCGAACTGCAGGGTGATTAGAAGCGGTTGATTCATGAACAGAGAACATTTGTATTGTCCGGCTTGGTTGTAGTGGTAGGTCAGCCTAAGAAAACCTGGATTAGCACAAAAGCAACATTCGTTCAATTTGGCCTTGAAGAGATAGTTCACCTGGCTTCCTGTAGTGACATTGTGAGAGGCCTGACTGAGGTTGAGAATTGCCTGATGAGCAGAAGACATTGATGTTGATGGCGGGTGAACCTATTTGAAGCAGAACCAATAAACAAACTGTTGCATAATTTCCCATAAAGGAAACAGTTCACCTGATTGTCTATACCAATGTTTTGAGCTGTCTGCTTGGAGATTTGACGTATCTTCCTTTGGTGGTTATCATACGCCGACTGGGACATTTGATATCCTCGCTTCTCGATTCCATCAAGCAAGTGAGTACGCTCCCTGCAGCCAAGCTCGACACAGGTACATGTGACATATTTGACAGGCATTCTGAGACTTCATGATAATTCATGATGCATTTAGCAAGCGGCAGTTTCAACAATTTGGAGAAGGGAGAAATGAGGCAATGGGCGAAAAAAACGTACAGCCACAGTGTGGTTAAATGAAACAGTGATAAACTGTGATAAATTGACAATTACAAAACACCCTGTTGAATCGATCCTTCCACTGTTGGCAAAGAATAAAATAATCAAACTGGTAGTTAAATCAAAATGTGAAATGAATTCTTGCACAGCACCCACAAGAGATGACCAATGACCGAGCAATTTTCCTTTCTTCCTTTCCTTCTCGTTGTTGGTGTTGATTCCGATTTTTCAGTGGCTCAAGCCCCACTTCGGTCGGATTTGGTGGTTTGGGGAGAGATGTTGTGGTTCCACTTTTGGGTGTGGTTCAGGTTTTGGTCCCTTGCTCATCTTTCCCTTTCTCCCTCCTCTTCAATGGGTAATGCTTGGCTTTGTACTGCGCATTATCTCCCCGGCTCACTTCCCCGCCGCACCGCGGACTTTCCACATCTCGGCTGCGCGATTGTATTAGATAACTAGTTCAGGTAGTGATAGATTTAACAGGCTTGTAATAGGTTTCATTAGATTATAGTGCGACATTTGAAATCAATAACACTTAAAAAAAAAGTACCAGAGATTGCACTACAAACTTCCAGAGTACATTGTTCACCTGCAGTTTCTATCAAATCCCACCATGGGAGTGTATAGGGGATTCCATTGGTTATGATAATCAGGTTTGGAGGGATTTACTGGAGGTAGGAAAATCTGCTGGGATTATTAAACCTCTGAACTATGCCTGGGAGGATTGTTCCTCTTCCACAAAATTTTGGGAGGGATCATTCCATCTAAAAATATTGAATACATTTCCAAAATTATGAATAAGCTTACAACAACATTAAAACCCCTAACATGATTCTGAGGCCTCCACAATGATGGCTATCCCTTTGGAATAATTATCACCAATACTCCTTGGAAGTGCAGTACTTTTTAAACATGGCCATAATATCATATCAATCCTCAACATCTGAACCAATATGAAATGGATGGATTCTCTTATTGATGTTGTCCAAATCTCATCAACTTGAATATCTAATGCAACTTGCCTTGACATCTATCTTGCAGAATTTCCTTGGCAGATCCGCTTCAGCCCAACTTGAAAACTTTACAACACATAAAGACTAAAGACTCCTCCTTGTTTGATCAGGTTCAATCCAAGTCACTTTTGGAAATCTTTTACAGCTGTGTCTCCATTGCTGCATTGGTTTGGAGAGGTTATCATCCATACAAAGAAGATTGGGCTGGATTATCATTTAACAGTGTCTGTGGCACTATTCTTCCTGAATAACAGTGTCTGTGGCACTATTATGTGCAGAAGACATTTAAGGGTCCCCCCTGTTACACTTCTCACTGTGGCTTCTAGAGCTTAGATTCATGTGAATTTCACAACTGTCAAATCATTATAGGTAAAATTGACTTGGAGCATGAAAAGATTCAACCAATTTGCATAAATTAATAAAAGCAAATCAGTAACAAAATTCAAAAATTGACTTTGAGGTTTGAATTTTGAGGTTTGAAGTGCAGCAGCACATTGGGGGTTGAGATTCAAAATACTTTTTGATTGGTGATAAATCATAATTATGATTATCATACTTAATTGTTGTTAACTATCAGCCCCTTTTTACCCATTGGTTTCCCCTACAATGTTGGAAAACACAAAGAAGTGCTATAGTTTGATTACTGACCAGTTATTCTGTGTCTCTGCTTCTAAGGGTGCTTTATGTGTTGAGTGTCTTTTGTTTCATTCTTTTGAAAGCTTTTCACCTTTCACCATCATTTCACCCATGTGTCATGACCTTTGAGGTACTCCTCCACTTCCAACATAATTGATAATTCAACCAAGTTTAAATTGGTTGAGTGCATCCCAGTTAAACTGACCTCCCTCCAGCTCAGCCAATTCTCCCCTAATCCTTTCACAAACATATACTGTAACTCTGCCCAAAGGAAAATCATTAATTAGATTAATTGGCTCAAAAGATATCAAATATGTTTGATCCAATTTGGAGAAATAAAAAATGCAAAGCTCAGCTTTGCTGATTAATTGAAACTTTGGGTAAAAAATTATATGCATTTCTGGATACCAAACTGCCCACTCTTTCACTCCCCATTCTGTTCATTCTTTGAACAAAATCTGTAACACTGGTCCAAGTGGAAACAGGATACTGAAGAAAATAAATATTAACATCAATTTCAGCTTCAAAGAGCACAAGTTTTATGTTTTCCATAGCTTACCTATTTTTTCATGCTTTCTCTTGTTTCTTGTCCTTATCTTTTTCTTGGTAGGGGAAGCTCTCCATGATAGTGCTGACTATTGATTTATTAATACCTGCTGAGATAAGTAATTTTTTGCTTGAGGACTATTGGACCAAGATAATAACTCAAGAATATATGATTGGTTATGTCTTACCAGGGAGATATTAGTTATCCCACTTCTGCAGGGCTCAAAATAGTAATAAATTTGAGTGAATTTTATCCAGATGTTATGGATTTCATCATTTAAGGAGACTCATTTTCTCCTTGATCTTATTATTATGACTCAAAAGAACAGAAGATAAGATTTCAATTATTTTTGAAGGAAGAAAGTGTTAAAGAAAAACATTGTGATCAGTGATATTGCCTCATCAGGTGAGGTGGTATTTTCTAGGGTTTTCATGTGTAATAAAATAGTCAGAAGAAAGTTGAAGGGCAGAATCTTTTATTCTCATATAGAAATCAAGACACAGGACAAGAGGTATGTGAATAAAATAAGCAAAAACAGAGACCAAATAAGAGAAAGGGCATCACCCCTGAGAATTGAAGGAGTATTTCTCCAAATGAAAGCACAGATCTGACAAGCCCAAAGACGATTCAACACCCATTTCATATCGTGCTTGTTCTCCAAGACCCTCAAGAAATTGATCATCATAGAAATCTACAGCCAGGCCCCGTGGAACTTTTGTGTTTTTGTTGGGTTGGATGTTCTGCATGGAGTGCTGACGACGGGTTTCCAAGAGTTGGCCTGGACCAAACGCTCTTCGGTTATCTTCCTTTTTTCTCCGAATTGAAATCTGATCCACCTTGTTTGCCAGCGAAGAGGCCAGCTCGGAGCGCCATTTCAGTTTAACTTTAACCAGAGTCCCATCCTCCAGGCTCTCAGTGTCGGAATTGCAAAGAGGATCTTCAAAAATTCCCCAAAACTTCTCGGGAACTTTCATCATCTCAAGTGTATCACTTCGATGCTTGGCAAGCTGTATAAAAATTTACAGAGAATCAGTAAGACTTTCCAAGACCAACTTATTTTGATGTTTCTACGTTGTCAAATAAGAATGTTGATGACATACTGTTTTGCGCCGGCGGCTACTCTGGACAAGCCTCTTCTGCGTCTCAGCAGAGCCTGGTTTCCGCTCTTCTTTTCGTATGGAATCACGCCTTCCATTGAACCATCGAGTGATGAGAGCCAGAATAGTAGAAGGTTCTGCAGCAGCTTTGGGTTCCATCGAGTAGCGAAGAAAACTTCCAGCTAACCGGGCACAATTCCAATGTCGCAAGATAAGTCGGGAAAATGCCACGTTCCATGGCGAAGTCGATAGTTCATTCCAGTTGAAACATGGATAAGGAAATCTAGTCTTCGTCAGATGCTCAAGAAAAGCTAGTCGGTTCGATTCATGAAGAACCTTTTTTTTTCCATGAACCGGGAGGTTTGTGTTGGCGGAGATTTTGTTTTCTAAAATGGCAAAGATTTCGCCTTCCTCCAATGTATCTCCACCCCAGCTATGACGGAACTGAGCTAACTGTTCTGAGTTTGGAGGGGACGGCCATGGATCGGAAAGTTGTTTCATGCCAAGGAGAAGACGTATGAATTGATATAGTGCCTGGCACAGTGGAGAATTGAAGGCTGGGAGAATTGGATCTAACTGTTTATTTTGGGTACGAGTAGTGGAGGCCAGGGTGCCATTAAGTCGGTAGGTTGAGGTTTTTGGCATTGTGTAAAAAATGGTATTGATGTACTGCAAACAGAAGGCTTGTTGGGCTGATACACACCTCAACTTCTTCTTCACTCTTATATCCACTAGTTCCCAGCTGAGAATTGCCGAAAAGGACAAAGGCATAAGCTGTTGAATTGGCTGGTAAACTGGTCAATAGGCCCTTTCTCATTTACTGAGTATGTTTGTCTCCTTCCAGAGCCCACCGGGCTTCGAGGTTCTTTGTCACACATCACTCAGGTCGGTGCCAGTATCATACGTCACCCTGGCCCGCTAGCCCTCCCAATCATATCACCCCTCATCATTTGCTGGGCTGGCTGTCTGTACAGTGCGCTCAGTAACCGACTTGATAAAGATTATGATTACGATTACATATAAGACGTGGTCATGGGCCGGGGTTTGAAGCGAATCGCGATTAGTGCAGTTGGTGTTGGGCAGGTGTGTGGGTTAGAGATCCAACGGCCAAGATAAAGAGAAACTCTCCCACTAGACTACACACTCCATTCGATGGCCGGTTTTGACCAGTGGTCAGGTGGAGTCGGTCATAACCGGCCATCGAGTGGAGGTGTACTCCACCGGATGACCGGTCAAGGCTGGCCATCGAGTGGCCGGGTACTCCACCGGATGACCAGTTATGACCGGTCATCGAGTGGAGGTGTACTCCACAGGATGACTGGTCAATACCACCATCAAGTGGAATGTGTACTCCACCCGATGACCGGTTATGACCGGTCATCGAGTGGAGGTTTACTCCACCGGATGACCGGTCAAGGCCGGCCATCGAGTGGCCGGGTACTCCACCGGATGACCGGTTATGACCGGTCATCGAGTGGAGGTGTACTCCACAGGATGACTGGTCAATACCGGCCATCAAGTGGAATGTGTACTCCACCCGATGACCGGTTATGACCGGTCATCGAGTGGAGGTGTACTCCACAGGATGACTGGTCAATACCGGCCATCAAGTGGAATGTGTACTCCACCCGATGGATGACCGGTCAAGACTGCCCATTGAGTAGAGGTGACTCCACCGGTCAAGACCGGCCATCAGGTGAAGTGTGTATTCCACCTGATGGCCGGTTTTCACCAGCCATCGACTATTGAGTGGATTACATACCCCACTTGATGGCCAGTATGGACCGGCCATGGTGGTGTACGTACTCCACTTGATGACTGGTCGTCCGCCATTGAGTGGAGCGTCTACCGTAGTACCCGATGACCAGTAAAAATCAGTAAAGTGTACGGGTGTGTGTGTTTCTATGTATGTAGTGTGAGAATGTCTGGCAGATCAAAAAAATTGAATTTGGCGCGATTTGTGCCCCCCCTGACTCTGAGCTTCTGTAATTGGGTGCACCCTTGGTGTATGTACATAGGTAGAAGTGTATATTTGGCACAGGCACTGCTGAGTCCCTCGGGGTTATGCTAGGAAGCTGCTCAGCTACTCTCAGCTACATATTGGCTCAGTTTGCTGGGGTGCTGCATTTTGCTGAGGCCCCCAGTAATGCACATACCCTAAGACCTTATGGTCAAGTAAGAAGTGAGATGCATTCGGGTTGTATCCAAAGTATGACTCGAGTAGTCAGATGTCAACTGTTGGCACTTACCTCAAATTTTCTTGCAGTGGTAGAAACACAGGAATAATTACCACACTGTCACCCCATTCCAGCCACCTCGCAAGATCCTGAGCTGAATAATTTTTGGATTGATAGCTTTGTTGTACAGATCGCATTTTGACGCCTCGGAGAGATCGACTGCGTAGAGTAAGGAATTGAATGAGACGTTGAATTCTTCGATGGATGTGTTGCCTTGCTTCATGACCCGTAATGATTTGCAAGCTTCTTCTTCTCCCTTGTGATTGGAAAAGGTCGTCTCAATCGCCACCAAAAACGCTTCTCCCGATAAAAGTTCTTCCAACAGAAACGGAGCCTTCGACAAAGCGGTATTGGGATCCAAGTTCTGATGATTTGCATTCTTCGCCATCAAGCCGCGCCACCAAACGTAAGAAGCGCAGTTGTCCCCCAACTTCCCGTCTGGTTTACAAAAGTAACCGGTGATCCACATAACCTTGTGTTTTTCATTATGGAAATTTTCTGCATTCATCTCTAAAGAGTGTCTCATAGCGAAACAAAATTCTTTAGTTTTTCCCAAAATACCAGAAAAATAGATGTGAGAAAGATAGGGAGGATCTCGGAACAACTTAGGTTGTAAAGGTGGATGGGTAATGGAGTGAGTAACAAAACCTTCTACACGATCCAAGCGAGAGTTGGTAGAATTATTAACTGAATTGATTGTGTTCCGCACTTGAAGGAATTGATTGTTAGAATTTGTTTTGATTTTCATAAATTGAGAGCTGAGAGGAAGCAAGGATTTCAAATCGTCAAACAATTTGAGATAGCGACATTGTTGAATTTCCAGATCAGCGATCTTTTGAACATGAGTGAGAATCGTATTATCAAGAGACTGATTCTCAATACCCAGATGCGAAATCAAACTAGAAACCCCATCATCACGAGCCGTAGCAGGAATAATGTTTGGCGTGTCGGGAACAGGATGATAAGGCATTGCTGCAGCCAGAAGAGTCGGAGACATTGGCGGAATAGGTCGAGGTTGGAAATCATTTGGAAGAGGCAATAACGGCGGAAGTGAAGGCGAGGGGGAAAGATAGTTTGGTCAAGGAGATAGAAAATTAACTGGCGGAGTCGGAGTAGGAGAAGGAAGCCTCATGCGAGTCGAGAGTAGTGGAGAAGAAGAATCAGACATAATGAAAATTGATCGATGTTGTCGTCGATAGAAGAGAAGAAATTCGATTGAGAAATAATTGAATGGTGAAAAAAAAAAATTTTTTTTGACCGCAAACGAAGAAGATTGATACGGAAAAAATAAAGATTGCAATATAACTGTGAGGGTCGGCTTACTACTTCTCAAAGGTCCAGTGGCTATGAAGTTACTCAAGAGAATAACTCGCCTCGGTAAGAAGATAGTAGTCGAAAGTCTAAATGAGACTTAGTTTAATATTTAGATAAGGTTTTTTATGATGATGTATTACTTAGTAATTCTTAATCTAAATGATGACAATGATAAGAAATATCGCAATGAGGAAAGAGGAAGACAAAGAGAGAAAGAACAAGCGCAAGACTATATGACATAAACGCACAGACCCAATGACGACAAAATGAATTTGAAAATGACATCATGCAGAAGAAGATCACATAAATATAAATGAATACGTCATCTTGTGATTCAACTTCTATATACATATCATACGTCATTCGCTAAGTTAATCCAACGTTACCTTAATAATCTTACCTATTCTTTAAGTTACAGCCCAAGTCATGACATTGCTATACATGTAAGCGATAGAGTGGCCTGAAAGACTATGTATGGTACTGCAGGATCATCCCCAGGTAATTGTAGCCCCGCCGTCGGTAAACTCCGCATCTCGCCACAATCAGCTGCACACCGGCTCTCTGGGGAGTATGTATGTACTTTTGAGGATGTCTATCGTTTCGGTTTTCGCTCTTTGGGGGCTTGTCCCATAGCGCCATGTCCGCAGTGGACAGTGACGAGCTGTCCTGAGACTAGAGTCACACATGAGTTGCGGGGGAGTTGGTAACAAAAACTTCGAAACATCGTTTGGGGTCATGACATAGCGGGTTTGAGAAGAATAAAACAACTTGCGAATCACCTTGTAAATACATTTCAGCTTCAAGGGCGTCTGTGCTGAAGGTCTGGAATGCAGAAATTAGGTGCGGCTTCATAACCCACAAGGACCTCCTGCGGTCTAATACATACTTGATCTGCTTCAAGGTTGTCTTGTTGTGGGAAAGGCTGCGAAAGGCTGTTATTAAAGGAATCTGGATTTGCTCCTGCGATTTGGATCTACATACCCTTTAAATAAGCTGGGACTTGTTTCTCTCTCTGCCAGGGTTGCTTCCCACATCATTCATTTTTGTCATGAAAACAATTGGGCAAACCCCGCTGATTCTCCTTATCCTTCGAGTTCAGTCCGGACCCACATGTGTTGTCGGATCTGAACTAGGACGGGTAAACTTGGGGAGGGATGAACTCAGGTCAGAGTCGGTTCAATTTGTAACAGCCACATCTTCCATTCGTTGACCAATTGGTGATTTGGTGCATCTTGAATCTTGATAGACCAGAACAGCCGTTTCTTCAAGTAGCTTGTCCAAATATTGATACCGCTCATCACCCCCCAATTAGCCACCACGATCGAATCACGGCTGTAGACTGCTTGCCGAATCTTGGTCAGACTCAATCACAAGCTCATCAAGACTGGCAGCCATTCGGCAGGTATGACCAGCTCCACGACTCACGAGAACAGTCGTCGGGTTTCGTTTCAGCTTCGTCATCGCACGCCAAACCGATGGTGGAAATTGATTTCTTTAGTCAGTAGGCCTTTTTGTATCCTATCTCGTAAAAACGTTCATCGCGGCATCATGTGGAAATTGTCTTGCTCTTCAAGCTACTGCATACTGAGATTTGAACTCCTTATGCTCAGGAAATGAACCGAAAATTCCATCTTCTCATCTAAACGAACCTGAGCATAGTTTGATTTCTAACCGGGGCATGAACTGTGAGCCAACCCAAACAGCTCCATGCTTTCAAACAACCTCTATCATTCTTCATCAGATCTATCCAAAAGCTGCTCAAAAACGGCTACATGATCAGTTATTTTCTGATTTAATGACCAAGACTTGGTCCTACTTGGGTGATGCCTCTCACAAGAGAAACTGACCAAATTCAACAGCCTTGACAGAGAATGAGCTTCAGTTATCTCTTGGCTTTCCTTCCCATGATTTCAAGGTCAACAAAAAGAGAAAGGGAGTGGCTCACACTGCTCCAGGTTTGATCACTCTAGGTAGATGGTCAATGCTGTTGGTAGAATCTCCATTTCTTGAAACTAAAGTAATTCTTTTCTGGGTTTTTCCTTGGATACATACAGAACCCAAAAAAGAAAAAGAAGAACATGTTGGTACTTTGGTCTTCACAGGTGGAAAGCCACCTGAAGATGATAGAAATAGGAAGGGGCCAGGTTGGTCAAAATTTTGTTTTTGAATTTTCCAAACAAAATCATGCTGGTAGTTCCAATATATTTTATTGTCTTTTTGGTTTCTCAATCTTCCTTCCCTCTTTACCTAAGGCACTACATTAAAACAGCCCAAAATTGAAATGGATCAACATTCAAACCTAGCTGGATCCTCCAAACTATCACCACATAAATTGGATTTGGAAAAAGGAAAACTTCCAAGCTTTGTTAGAGATTCTGGAGCCTCAACAGGTTGGTCAAAATTTTTACTTATTCATCCAAAGTAAATGATTGTACATGATTGCTTTAGTCACATTTTGAATCTTCCTGATTATCTTAACCTAAGGCACTTGCACATTGAAACACCCCAAAATTGACATTGATCCACATTCAAACCAAGCTGGAACCTCAAATCAATCACCAATCAAAGTGAATTTGATCCCTAGTGGGGATATTGAATGTATACAAAAAGAAAAACACCCAAGTTATCCTCAAAAATCCAGAGCATTAAAAACTACTAAAAAACCCATCAGGAAAATGGTGGTGGAAAACCCCAAAGAAGAAGATGGTGTTGATTATCTTTTGCACATATCACACACCCAGGTGATTTGGGCATGGATTTTTGGGGTCTCAACATACCGTGCAGATCCTGTTGATCAAGACTTCAAGGTTTCCTATGCTTCCACTCTTTCAGATTTTGATACTAAAATGACAGAAGAAATTAATGAAATCATGAAACAAAGTTGCCATCAAGCTAATCATATCAGTTCAAAAGAGATTTACCAAAAAATATTACAGCTTTCTAATATTCTCTGGTTTATCAACATAAGATTCCTCAAAAACCTTGCAGTCCTTCAAAACATTAATTTTGACTATTCAAAAGAGAATTGTTTGATTTATCACTGGATTCTTGACATATTTGAACACAAAAGGAACCATTCCCAAAAGAAATCCTCAAAAAAAGAAGGCCTAAATTGCTCAGATGAGAGGGTCATGAGTCATGTTGTGTCAACTCTCACTTCAGTTCTCATATCAGGAAAAAAAGATAATCTGGTTTATGTATTTGACAAAACAATTGAATCAAACAATCCAAAGTACCAATTGAAAATTTCAATAGGAGTTATTTCGGAAACACAGCTCCTGATGACTAAAGCAGCAGTCACAGTACTGGCTTCTTTTTACAAAACAATTTCCCCAACAAAGTGGAAAATATTATTTTTAAATCAATCAGCTTTCTTACACCACTTGGCTAAATTGCAGAGTTCCTTTGCATTCTTGTCAAACTCCTCTCAGGGAATACCAGTAGGAGCAATCCATTCTATCAAGGCTCTTCCTTGGGCAGCTTATTTCAATGAATATGACAAAATAGTGTTTGGAAAGCTCAATCAGAATTTATCTTGGGAACATCTACAAGGTTCATTTCAAAAATATTTCAAACAGATATCCAGTTCAGAAAATCAGCTGTATCATGAAAGACTCTCTGAGCTCTTGAATCAGCAGCTTTCTTCTGAATATATGAATGAAAAAAGAGAAAATCAAGAAGACATTTGGAAATGCATTTGTAGGATAAAGAGTATCTATGAATCAAAAAAAGGCAAATTCAATCAGTTTCATGTATACTACTCAAATTCACAAATCAACAGACAATCAAAAATGAGTGTCAATGTGAAAGATTTCAAAATAACACATTCCCTCTGTGGGAGTCCTTCTGAAGAGAAATTTTTACAAGAGTTAAAATACTTCTCAGAGATTTTATGGGTGTTAAACTCTACACTGATAGAAGCACTAGGTCATACAGAAGAACAAGATAGTCAAACATTTCAACAAGAGCAAAATAATATCCAAAAAGAACTTTCATCCATTATTAATATGTCAACAAATGGTTTGGGAGAGTCATTGGATCCAGAGACTAAAAATCCAGCAGTTAAACTTCAGGACTTGATCTTGAGCTCATTGTATAATAACAGTGAAATAAGTTTCAAGCTCAAACAGGAAGCTCACACCAAGGCAGCAGTGATGTTGATGGCCTACTATTATCGTGAAGCGAACAAAGTAAAATGGGCAACCATATTCCAAAATGAATCAAATTTTATTCATTCACTTTTCACAATTGGGATGAGGATGAGGAAAACATATTCTTACAACTATCATCAAGAAGAAGTGATCCCAAAATTGAAAAGCGCACAGTTGATCCCTTGGAAGAATCCTTTCAGTCTCTCACCAACTCAACAAAAGAGTGTTACTTGGCTCTTTCAAAAAAGTAAAAACATCAACATTTAAATCAAACTGAGATGTATTGTTTCAAATTTCATGTTATATTATTTTATTGAAATAGGATTCTTAAACAAATTTCTGGTGATTTTGGGTTGGCATATTATGTACAAGGATAGACAAATAAAGGGTTTATGATGAAACTTTTTCAATTTTTCAAGCCAATTTTGAGGGATTCACCAACAACTTTTTAATGATTTCATGAGTTGGATGGATTTGGAGGTTTCTGAACAATCTGAAAAATACACACAACTTTTAAAATCTTACAAATTTATTGATAAACACCTTGAAATGGGCATTAAAATATGATAAATTTTAATTGTGAACCACACTATTGGTAAAAAAATCCTTTAAAATAGAAAAAAAAAATGGTGGTAGATACACTTGCTGCATAGATGTGTGAAATTTTAAAAGTAGATGGGCAAAACGCTTTATAGCTGCTATGTTGAGGAAATGGGGAGAAGTAATGCCTAGAATTTCAGGCTAGGATAGCCTAGAGTGCTCAAAATGGTTAAGCTACATATGGATTATCACTTTTTTGTTCTAATCCAGTACCAATTTGAACTACAAATCAATAGTACAATATGCTGTAATGTAAAATTCAACAAAATATGGTGAAGAACTGCAGAATGTAGATGTCAGCCTTGGCCATTCAAGCAGAGTGTTGGGTGGGGTTTTCAAGTGAATCAAAGTATATAAATTGTTATTTAAAACCCTAGTTTGTTGTCAAGTTGGCAAGAGCTCAGCTTGTGTGGTTGAATTCTACCAATAAGTTGGCTTTTCAGAAAAAGAAATTGTGGGACAAATGTAAGTGAATTTCCTTAGTGGTTCCTTTCAAAGTATAACAAAGATTAGATTTGGTCTTGTGGAATAATGTGACCTAGTAAGGCTTTCAGATATGAAACAGTGATACCCTCCTCTATGATGTGAAGGTGACATTCATCAGCTCCCAGAACAATAAGGAAATCAAAGCAGAACCCCAGAACAGTAAGGACATCAAAGCAGAACCTTACACTGGGGAAATGTAGATCAGACACACAGACTGCATTGGACCCAAGATGATAAAACAGAGAGCAGCTGAGATAAACTGCATGACTGACTTGTACAAATGTGTCACAGAACACACAAGACCCATCAACTCCAGTAAATCTAAGTAGAAAAAACTGTGACTAAATCACACCCACTCTACACCTGGTAGCTGGCAGGCGCAATGCTCTGGAGATCCAATATCCGCCAGGTGCTGTAATCGGCGAAATCATCAAAAAATGATCCGAACGAGGCTCGAACTCATGACCTCTCGCGAACGCATCTAAATGCCATCCTGCACACGCGGAATGGCGGTTGTGAAGCGAGTGTGATAACCAACTACACCATCGGACCGTGGCAACTAATGACGCAATTAAGCGATACATCGCCCCTCTCCGCAGTCGCTGCGCCGGTTCAAATCGGGCAGCGCGGAGCTTTCATGTATCAATTTAATGTTTGTTCTGATTTTGATTTCGGTGGCGTAATTGTAGAAAGGCCTACATAAAATGGTCTTCGCATGGTTAGCGAAAACTTGGGCAACAAGAAGAATGATGTTGAGAGTTTATTCCAAGATGAGTTTCCTCATCGAGAGCCGACTTTGTAATGGATCCGGGTAGCTCATCGTTCCCATCAGCTTGTAGCCAGCATCGTGTATGATGAAGCGTGAGAAGACCCTTTATGGAATCGCCAGGCCAACCCTGCTCAACCAGGGTCAACATCGCGAAATCTCGGCCTTAGGGTTCATTGTAAAGCTTGGCAAACATGACTTAGGCATAATCAGTTTCACATAATCATCATGTCAACCCTTTTGTTTAGGTTGCAAGACAAAAGGATGCTTATCAGGCTAAGTGCTGGATTCATGATTCATCTGGGCTTGCGAAGTTCGCACGTAAGAGTATACGCCTTAGATGGATTGAAAGGAACTCATTCATCATCATCCTATCTGGTAACCATCTCCCTCCCTTTGTGTTTTTCCGTTTGTATTCATGGATATCTCACATCTGCGCCAGATGTAGTCATTGTCAAAGATTCCAACCGATGACTGTGCAATCAATGGGTCCCATGTTACTTGCTGGTTTACTAGAGGAGGACCCAACCATGCGACTTTCGGTTTTTAGTTCAACCGCCTTCTTTCTCCGGGCTACCCTATTTTAGACACATCGAGTCAACAACACCCACCTTCAGGCGCTTTCATATTGTTAGATACACTTCCCACATATCTTTTGAAAACATTCCTTTTGGCCACCACATACCTACCAACACAACTAGGGCCTACTCCTTTACTTCCGGTTTCTTCAAGCTTTGATCTACAACATGATGATGCTTCGAAATCCTGGTTTGATTTCGTTCATATGCCTGATCCATTCCATCCAGGCCATCACTAGAACTCGTGTTCCCAGGTCTCTGGCCTTCGCAGGTGGCGCCAAGAGCGGAGGTCACTTGTTACTTTTACCACGAAAAATTAGTGATTCAAACTCACATCCGCAAGTGCTTCAAGAGATACACAACTTGGCAGGCTGTGGCGGTGAAATTTGTGGAACGTTGGCAGGTGATGCGGTCCAACCGCTCTTAGCAGGTGCGGATGAATGTGCCCAGCAGGATATGGCCGACAGTGAGTACAAACTTTCTGTTCTCACAAAAAGGAGATCATTCGTGACTAAAATAATCGGGTTGGTTGGTTGCCTGGAACTTGATGATTGATAATAGAAATGATAGACATAGCTAAATCGAAACTTCAAGACAAAGCCGTCCAAAAAAAATTGATCGAGCTGGCGAAAACGTACCGACAAACCGAAAGGAACACCTTCCCAGATTACTCTTCACCCTCAACGCCGGACAGAAATAGTCTGTATTGTCAGAAGAAACCCAAGAATCCCGAACTCGTCGGCTTGTCGCAAAAGCAAAGCTCGGCCGCTGATCCTAAGTTGTTCTTTGACCCTAAGTCTAACGGTAAAAGTATTCAAAAAGGCTCAGATCGTAAGTCATTGCCGAGTCTCGATTTCAGAATTAGTCATTCTTAGTGTCCTTCAAATTCCACCCGCGGCTAATTGGTTTCGTCTTTGCGTGTCTGTGTTTTTTTGGGTTTCCTTTTGTCAATCGATGGTAACAATCTTAGCGCGGACGGAGCCATTGGGTGCCGCCAAAGGGCAAACGACGCCCGTCAACAGTACCGCATCAACCAAGGAGGACACTGATGATCCGGATGTCGATGAAGATGATGTGCCGGAGGATGGAAGCGATGAAGCGGCGGGGAATGCGTCTGACAACTCGGCTAATGCGAGCAGTCCCGGGCCCAACGCGTTCTCATCGAGCACGACTCGCAGTCCGACTCAAGTCCAACACGATCGAGAGCTCGGGATAGTCGAAAGTAGTCGGCCTCACAAGCTCGCTGACAGCACCCAGTCCTCACAAGCTCCCACCAGCGTCCGACCGCAAGCTCCTTCGACTGATCCCGTGAAGAACTCGGCCACAAAAGAAAAGTCCCAGCCTCCACAAGGCAAGCGAAAATCATCAGGCAAATGTCGCCCAAAACGCTTGAGGAGGGTATAGAAACTCCCCTCGCTTCATTCCCCCAGAGTGTGTGGTAAAGATTCCTTAAAATCTGTGAATAGCTTTCTATGTAAATACATTTATTTTGGGGATTTCCGTTGCTTTGGGTGTGTATGTACATGATACACGACATGATAATCATTTATTTCTCGTTTTTTTTTTTTTTGGCTCAATAAAATTTTCCAATGACTGGTCTCATTGATTGAAATATTTGATGTGTTAATGAGAGTTAAATCGCCTTTGAACTGTAGCCTCTCATGTCACGACAAGATGGCAAATTCCTTGCCGATGGTATGCGCTCTTTTTTTCGTTGTTACTCGCAAACATGCGAGAATAATCATCAGTAATACTTTAAACACGCTACTTGGTGGAAGACTATGAGTTGAAGTCCAGATTGAATCTGAAGATAGTCAAGAATAAAAAAGAAAAGACTGATCATCAGGCCGGAGCTGAGCCGAACGGCGCATTGCTCATGAGTTGGCGCATACAGTTCAAAGGGCGCTAAACCCTTGACTGATGGTCAAGTTGGGGCATGATGGTTTCTGACTCATCTAATTATTTTCGAAAAAAGGGCCAAGTGAATTAAATACAACTGTAAACCTTCTGGAGCCTCTTCAAGTACCCCACTGATGGGCGAAATGACAAACAAGAAGGGCAAAACATTGAGCAAGGGATGCAAAGGGATCAAACATGGGAGAAGACACATCCCGAAAAGGGGACAGTATGTTTAAGTATATATGTTTGACCAGGTTTACTTGGCCACCAGAGTTTTACAATCCCGAAGCAAGACAGGGAGGCTGTGGACGGGAATGATGGAGATGCATCGAGCGGCTCCAGTGGCGAGCATGGGATGGGCGCTGAGGAGGACGAGAATGACGGTCCGGAGGACAAATCCGATTGCGGTATGAAGGATGTAAGTGCAATCCTGATAAGAGTGTGATTAAGTTCTTTGCCACATAGGCCGGGCGCGAGTCTAACTAATACCACGCTGAACTCTGCCCCTGATGGGCTTGTAGAAGGACGGCGAGGATGATCAAACAGCTACATTGAATAGAAATAGGCAAGAAAATATGTGAGATGACTGTCATAGCCCGAAGAGACTCCTTTTGGTATTTCTATGATGCAAGGCCATGCGAACCTCCAGTTTAGAATTTAGGTGAAAAGAGGAGAAAATTACTTCGGGATTTCAGTTTTATTTTCTACTTGCAATGATTCTATAAGTCTGTCTAACGCCCTAATGAGCACATTCATAGTTCATGTGATGTATATATCCTTCAAGAAGCAGAAGTAGAGCGAGATAAAACCAAGGAGACCCGAAAGAAAGCACAGCTCGCGGTTGATCATAGGGATCCAATGCAAGTATACAAGTCTGTTGTTCCAGACAGGAGTTCTAGAGATGACATCGGGGGAAAAAATGAGGTTTAGACTGCCTGAGCATGAATTGGGACGTCGTGACATTTGCTAGTATTTTCGTTCGGTACTTTATCACCCTACATAAGATTAATAGAAAATCCATGTCAATCACTGAAATACCAAATTTATGGAGTGTGAGGAATACTACTGACAGGTCGAATGTGTGCTACATCCTCAGGACGACAACACTTGGGGGTCCCCAGAGAACAAATAAACGGAGCGGCCTTGTGGACCGGGCTGTTATCCTTGAAGGCGCGTTCGACTTTGATGTCACATTTCAATTGGGTGAAGAAAGGTATGTTACTCTAGTTGACTACCGATACGCTGCTCCATTGATATGGATAAGAAGGACACCACTCACATTTTCTTGGTTCCTCTACATTTCGGAATATGGCATCAGGTTTGTCAGTTTTTTTTTTTTCTTCATAGGAAGCAGTTGCAACCCACGGGTACTGCGCCGTTGATTGATAAGGATGAGAAGAACGACACGCACTTGGATCATTTCCGATAGGAACTAAGTCTATTTGGCAAACACCTTCACTCAATCCAGGTTCCTTGCAAGGGAAGGCTGTCGCACTGGCATAGTTGCAAACCACCGCCAAAAAAACAGCAGCGGATAAGACGTGCATGTCGGGGATGAAGGGGATTGGTTTGTGAGGTTGGGTTGGTTCGGGAAAGGCAAGTGTGTTGACAGCTTGGAGGAAAAATGGGGTGAATGGGCCTGCTGCAGTGGGCAATAACCCTTCTGATTTATACCATTTGGCATCCCTCCTACAGACATACATACCCTTGATAATACTCCATACATCCACTGTTTGAGTGATCTGGGCGTGGCCAGTTGAAATGACGCCTCCAGGCACACACTTGTGGTAGCCCGACGGCGCGCCTTTTGGGGGCGAAAGCCACAGTAAGAAAGCGTGGCCCCCATCACTCATCAGCCCCGTGCCATCGCTACAGGCTAACTTAACCCAAGTCCCTCGATCGGAGGGCCTGTACCAGGCGGGCGCAAGCGCCCCTCGCGAGTTGCCTCCGGCCCTCTGTCGAGGGGATTTGTTAAGCTAGCGCTACAGGATGCCACGGGTCCAGACTGCCAGGTCATCAATTCAAACCCACAGTTATAGACGCCGGGGGAGGTCTCGAAACGCTCTCCTGGACATGTGTTTTTGCTTTGTCTTTTTGCAAGTCTTAATCTCATCGCGCCTTACAACACCGGTGTCTTGCAGGGAGTCCCGGAAGGTATGTAAACACTGATTTCTTTCCCAGGACTCCAGCGTGGGGGTGGGGGTGAGGTTTGTTCCCCGATCCACTGTCGGAGTCCCTGGACCTTCCTGGACCAAAGGAACTGTCTCGGGCGGCGCATACTATTGCTTCGCTTCGGAGTCGGTTCAATTTGGCAAGCCTCCCTGAGGGCTGGTTGCTTGGCACATATGACAGCTCGTGTATAACAAGTATGTAAATACAAGATAAAAATTATTCAGGCGCAATGGATTGGATGGTTCGGTGATGGAGCCGAGCATGGTTTATTATTATTAATTTTACATGAACTGGACTAGAAGAATTATTGTTGTGGGCTGAATTGATGACGGTAATGTGGACCTGGGAATTGATTTCCAAGGCGGAGAAACAAACCGAGTATGTATGTAGCTCAACGGTTGAAGCTGACTCCGTGCCGCAGGAGGTCCCAGACGGGATTTTGGTTGACTTGGCTTCTCGCCTCCAAGAGAAGATGGGCAACTTGGTACCGAATCATTTGCTTCTGGTTGTGCAACGTAGCGTGTATCAGATGGACTCCTTTACCATTATTACCCTTTCCTGCGCTCAACTTCCAAGAATGTGTGTTATTGTGTAATGATTCCTTGAAGTTCATCATTAGCTTTCAATGGAAATCCATTCATTCATTTTGGGGAGTTTGGTTGCTTTGGGTGTTTATACGATATAGATGACATGAACAAAGGTGTTCTGACCAGAATAACTTTATTCTTGATAACTGGTCTCATAAATCAAACTATTTCATGTGATCCATGAGGGTTACAACCCCTGTGAGGAGGTCCAGGATACAAACACCGAGCATAAGGCCAGAGCTGAGTATGTTGTGGTCGGAAGAACAAAAGTATAAATGCACACGCAAGGATACAGGGAACTAAAAATGCGAAGAAAGTGACAGTGCATTAATAAGCTTGCTCATCCAATTCCAAGGGCGCTAAACCGCTGACTGATGGTCAAGTGGAAGTGTGATAGCTTCTATTAATCTGCTAATTTTAGAAAAAGGAAAGGTGACATGAATTGAATAAGCTTCGAAATTTTCCAGAGCCTCTTATTGAGTACCCCACTTATGAGAAAACTGGCAAACAAGAAGAGGCTAACATTGAGCAAGGGATACGATGGGACCAAACATAGGAGAAGATATATCATAAAAAAGGGGACAGTATATTGAAGTATATGTGTTCCACCAGATTTACTCAGCCAACAGAGGTTTATAGTCCCGAAGCAAGACAGGGACGCTTTGGACGGGAATGATGCCAGCCTCGGTGATGACCATAGTGATATCTTCGGGTCGGGTGACATCATACAACAGCGACAACTCTTGGATCTCTGTCTCCTCGCTCTCTTGCGAAGGGGTCGGTAAGGTGTACGGAAACGTGAAGAGATGATGGTATGAAGCCGGGGGGATATTTGATTGCGAAGTACCTTTTGAATACAGAACCCAAATAAAGATTGACGGGTTTAGTGTTAAACAAAGGACTCTCTGGATGCCTAAATTAAACAGTGAATGCAGATGCAGCGCGAGAAGACACTCACTGATCTCGTTGCTGACAATGCTGTCGAGCATGACCCGATCACTGAACTTGTAAGTTTCGCAACAACAGACGACGGGGATCCCATAAGTCTTGCTGATCATCGCGATCATTGCTGTCCCAGCCCTGCCATAGATGGCGCCATTGGCGAGCATAGCATGGGCGCCGAGGAGGACGAGATTGACGGTCCGGAGGATCGGGCCGATCGCGGTAAGCAGGATGTACGTGCAGTTGATGCCCACGCCCGACAGCAGCTTGAGGAGGTTCTTCGCCTCGTAGGCCGGCCGCGAGTCTACTAAGACCACGCTGAACTTCACCCCTTCCTGGTGGGCTTGGAGAAGGACGGCTTGGATGATTGAAGAGCTACATTTTACATATAAACAGGTCTGTCAGATGATTGTCAGAGAGGGCTAGCTGGCGGGGGAATGCACAAGCACTTACTTCGCATAGGTCATGATGACATCCCCATCTTTGATCTTGGTCACCGCATGTGATTGGATCACTTTATCAGCAACGACAATCCGATCACGTATGAACAAATCGATCCGATCACACAGGTAAGATTTGGCCTGAAAAGATGAATGGGTGTAAGTCGAGTTGAATTAATGAGGGTAATATCTATCTTAGACAGAAGGTAATGCCCACCTGTTCATCAGGCGTGTCCATCCCGATTCGACTGATTACCCCTTTCAGATGTCGGATCGCATTACCCATGCTCACTGATAATGGTCTGGCTTGTACAAGATGGGCGATCTGGGGTGACAGATGCGATAACAAATGTCGGGAGAGGGAAGTCCCTGATGGGGGAGAGTACGATTGAATGACCTGTTGAAATTTGCAACGAAATACTGTGTCAGCTACATATCATATCCCTAATTGACTACCCCTTTTTTTCAAAAAGTCTTTATTCTCCATTTTCTTTTGCAGCTCACGTGTTTGAATGCTTCGAGCATAGCCATGCATCGGGCGTTCGAGCCCACGATCCTAAACTGAGCAAAAAGATGAGCGAGGCGGAGGATTGAATGATGAAGGACGGGGTTATTCTTGCGAGAAGCGTTGAGGGTATGAGTAGTGACGGGGGATTCGAGATGAAGGAAGAGCTGGAGGGAGTGAGGAAAATCGATCATCGGGTCGATCGGGCTCTTTTTGGCGGCCGAGGTACTACCAGTTGGACGAGAAGAAGTAGATGGGGCATTTATGTTGTTTGACGCTTTTGGTTTGGAGGAGGTCGAGGGAGGCGGGGTGCCTTTGAGTGCGGCTTTATCGGCTCGTTGCTTTTCCTGGACTGCTCTTCGTTCCGCTTTGCTCATCTCTTTCATGCTTGGCTTTGAGTTTTTAGTCTTCCCTGCCGAGTGCTCTTCTGTTCTATTGGAAGCTGAGGAATCGCCGAGATTTCCGCCAGGATGCTGTGATCGCCCATTCCCTTGGGATTGTCTCCTCGGCGTCGAACCAGACGTGAGGCTCTTATCGGCCATGTCGGATTGGTTGGTCAAGGAGGGAAATGCGGACATTGCTCTGCTGCCATAATACACACGTAAGAAACAGGTGGAAGTCAGTTTGTTTATTTCATTTCTGTTTTATAGCAGGGCCTCAACGATAGTCGGTGGTGAATTGAGGGACATACATACCAAGAGTGGTCAAGACTTGGATGGTTCGATGAGGTTAAGAACAGCACTCGAGCCACTCACCTCGGCGGAATAATTGGTTCTTCGGGGAAAATGGGCAAAAAACAAGAGTAAAGCAAAAAACCAAGCCTCGGGGGGGGGGGGGGAAAAATGAACGCAGCCGGGGTCGAACCGACGATCTCTCGCTCTCGAGGAAAGCTGCTCATCCCGCATCGAAGGCGAGCGCCTTACCACTGGGCCATGCGTCCTTGTATGATCGCGTCATTACTGCGTATTCAATCGTCCTACTCTCGCAGTTGCTGCGGTCCGTAACCTTGCTCACAAGTAGTTGGCTGTTGGCATATTATGCCACATTTCAAGTTGACATCATTTCTGTAGGGGTTGTGAGTCATTTTGCCTGTCTGTTACAACTTACATCAGCTGAAGTGAACCAAACTTGAGCTTGGTTGCTGTGTACAAGTGGGTTGGGTATACCTTTTGGTAAGTATTTCAGTCAGGTTACAAATTTTCCAATGCAAAGGCTGATACCATACCTTAATAGAACATTGGGGCAGTGGGACAAGGCAATCATGAACCAACTTCTGTAAGTGTAAGATACTCAATTACCATTGTTGTCTTGACTGGGATAAAGAAGAAATCAAGAACAATAAGAATGTAAACAGATGATCCATCCAACCAGGTTCTGTCTTTTTTAGCATGTTATTAATCCCAATTGGCCACATGCAGAGGATTCATTCACACTTCCAAATTCAGTTTGTAAAATTTAAACAATGGAGAGACTTCCTTTCAAAACCTACACCGCCAGTTTTGACTTGAAGCCCTGAAAGCTAGATTTCCCTTCAAGACTCTAGACTTTTTGGGTTTAAATTGATAAAACTGGGAGGCCCCAGATCCTATGGGAAGTCCTCCAGTCAAATCATGAGGCGAAGGAAAACAAATATCATAAAGATAAAACCAATAAAATTATTGTTTATTTCTCAAATTAAAAATAAAAAAAGTATAGACAAGTTTTTCACATCACACGGTTTCAGGGCCATTTTTTGGAAACAGTAATCAAGTTAGTTGATGGCTTAATGATTTTCCACAGGAGGATGATAAATCTGGAAAGTAAATTCATAGGCCAGAGTTGGTGACATTGGATTCCTGCAACTGATCTCTGAAAAACAGACACTTGATGAGGCCCGCCAAGAGGGAAGAGAAGAAATTGAATCCAAAGAGGAAGAAGTGGTTGATCATCTTGATATTTTCCATCAACCACCTGATTAGTCAAACCAACATTCTCAAGATCCACAACTTTAGCGGGCAACTCCATTGTTTTACTTCTATTGTATAAGTTTACTACTTCATCATTCTCACTCTCACTCGCTTCCAACAGTACGGAGGAGGTAAAGGTCTAGATTATGTATGGAATTGCAATCAAAAGATGCTGTAATCCAATCATTGTGCGCTTATGATCACTGTCAGATCTATAAAAATGATGGTGAAAATCAGACTGGCAGAAATCTACTCGAATTGACAAATGATATGCGATGTTTTGTCATACAAGACAACATTTTTTAGTACTGTACTACTATGGTTCCAAAATGGCGAAAAAAGAGGGCCTCTCATGGTTTCCCAGAACCTGAGGTGCAGGAATCCACAAGGACAATGTCCTCGACATTGATCAGTCTTCGACTTGTTGCTCTTGGTGCCCTTGAGAACTTTGTCGACGGGGTCGAAAGTTGATCCGAATGCCTGAACGTTGATCCCTTGGAATCAAGCTCCAGAGATGGCAGATGGAAATCTGATTTCTTGAAGGAGATAGCCGAGCTCAACAGTGGTGTGGGGTAACGGATGAGAGTTCCGCTGGGATCGCTCAAAGGGAAATTGGAGACGACGAAGAGGACGAGTGTCACCATCGATATCGAGTCGGTTTCTGGCTTGAAAGCCAGATGACCAAGACAAGCTTCATCGGGGTTTTGCTGAATTAAAGCTGATCGGCAAGGACGCAATCAGTTTCAGTTCCACCGGCTGGTCCAGCCAGGACCATGTTGTTGAGCAGAACTAGAGATGTGGGGTTTGTGGATCAAGTGACTTCCTCGATTGACTGCTTCTTCATACTCATCATCTCAAGTTGGCGAATGGGTACGATTCCTTACTCGATCTCCTTCAAATGACATTGTCAAAATGCATCATATGTTTGTCTCAAGGCCAAGAGACTCATTTGGCTATTTCTATGATATAAAGCCATCCGACCTTACAGTTCAGAAGTTACCTGAATAGAGGAGAAAAGTACTTCGGCATTTCTATCTTTTTTTTTCTAATTGCAATGATTCAATGGGTCTATCTATTCCACTAATCAACACATTCGTAGTTCATGTAACGGATTCCCTCAAAAAAGCAGAACTAGAGCGAGATAAAACCAAGGAGACCAGAATGACAGCTCAGAATGTTGCTTGCGGTTGATAGGGATCCAATGCAAGTATATAATTCTGTTTTTATATAGACCGGAGTTCTGAACATGGCATAGGGGAAAAAAATAAGGTTCAGATGGCCGGGGCACGAGAATGGGATGCCAGTGTTTACTAACTGTTTCGGGCCCCGCTGAAGGTTCGGACAACCTAGTTTGTTTGGGGTTTTGGTACGTCGTGACACTTTGAAGTATCTGCGTTCGGCATTTTGGCGCCCTACATATGATTAATAGAAAATCCATGTCAATCACTGGAATGATCAAATTTATGAAGTCTGATGAATACTACCGACATAGCTGTATCCGGATATAACCTTTGGAGGACAACACGCGGGCCACCCCGAACTACAAACAAACGGCATGTCCGGGTGGTTGGCATCATAACCGGCGCGTTCAACTTCGAGGTCACATCCCAATTGGGTGAAGAAAGGAATGTTAGCCTGGTTAACTACCGATACGCTGCTCGATTGATGTGAATGAGAAGGACAATACTCACCATATTTCTGCGCTTCTACATTTAGGAAAGTGAGATCAGGTTGTCAGGATTTTTTCATGGGAAGCATTGTTGCAACCGATGTCAACTGCTCCGTTGATAACGATGAGAATAAAAAACTCACTTGGATCAGTTCCGAAAGCAGGGGGATTCATTTTGCAAACACCTTCAGTCAATCCTACTTCTTTTTTGCAAGGGAAGGACCATGCACTGGCATAGTTGCAAACGACAGCCAACAAAACAACTGCGGATAAAACTTGCATGTCGGGGATGGATTACCAAGGAACTGGGAGTTGGTTTGTGAGGTTTGATTGGTTCGAAAAGGCAAGTGTGAGCTTGGAGGAACAACAGATCGGTGGGGTGAGTGGATCAGTCGATGAGGGCAATAATCCTTCTTACTTATACCATTTGGCATCCCCACCGACATACGTGCATCCCCTTGAGAATGCTATAGAGGCAGATGCACTCAGGGCCGAAAAACGAAGGTTGAATCGGAGGCGACCCTGTCCAAGTTGTACAAACGAACTAGATACACACATACATCCACGCGTTCACTGGTTGAGTGATCTGGGGCGTGCCCAGGTAAAATGACGCCTCAAGTCACACAGTTGTGGTGGGCCTGAGGGCGCGCCTTATGGCGCTGACAACTATTATAGAAATTGTGCCCCCCATCAGCCCGATCCTTTATTTATAATGTACCAATAAATCAAGCGTACAAACATGTTAATATGTATCTATTGTTCCAAATATGTAGCGCACACGAGCGGTTTGCGATGTCACCATGGCCATGGGCTGCCATGGGTCCAGACTCCCGGGTCATTCATTCAAGCCTAGAGCCTAGGCCCTGGCCCCTAGACAGTAGATGTCGGTGGAGATCTCGAGTGGCTGGCGCCGCGCTCTTCTGGACATGTGTTTTTTCTTTTTCTTTTACAGGCCCTAATATCACTGTGCTTTAAAATATGTATTGGTGTCTTACGGGGAGGCCCGCCAACCAAACAACGGATTGTTTCCACTCTGGTGTGTGGGTTAGGTTTCTTTTGTTCCCCGATCCATTGTCGGAATCCCTGGACAAAGAAACTGTTAACTGTCTCCGGCGGCGAGCCGGTTCGAATTCGCAAGCCCTCTGGGGGCTTATTGCTCGTCATGGCAGCTCGTATTCCAAGATATAAACACGTACACCTTGACGTGGGGTTGATGGCTAATTGAATGGGTGATCGAGCAGTGCATGGTTGGCGAATCAAGTTATAATATTAGACTGCACTAGAACTTATGTAGAAGAATTGCTGTGGAGCTGAGTCCTTGTCGGTGATGTGGAACTCGAAATTGACTTCCAAGTCGTTTCATGTTTTCAAAAACAACTTGGTTGGCTGATGACTGACTTTGCACCTGACAGTGACAAGGTCCCAGGTGGCTTTGAAATTGCTGTTACTTGGCTCCTCGCCCCCAAAAGAAGATGCGCAAATTTCTGCCGAATGATTTGCTTTTGGTTGTGCAACGTAATGTGCATCCGATGGATGCCAGATGGTCACCATGATCACCCTTTCCCTTCAGATGGTTTTCGTCGGGAAAATTTTTTGCGATCATCACATTCTTCTCATTGTATCTCTCTGGCTGCCACCTCCAGGCTAAAGTTATTTCGATATATTCCGCTCAAATTGCAGCGTCTGCCTTGAAATTGAATGGCTTGAAAAGTAAATCTTGAGAATCAGCAACAAGTAAGAAATAAATCTGTGTACAGGGGAGGGTCAGGTAAAACAAGCATGTCAGCAACAAGTGCAAAACTATGCGCAAAACTATGTGATCTTGAACTGCACTTTTTTTACCCTCAGGTTTCAAGGTAAATCTATCCTGGTATATCCCCATCTTTGAGGAACCATGTTAGGAAGAAATTTTGACATGTCACAGTTTTTTTCATTGTTGTTGGAAATGTAATTCACCTTGATGGACAGACCTGACATGGACAGAGAGATTGGAGGACTTCCCATTGGATCTGGGACCCTCTTAGTTTGTAATTTAGATCAGAAAAGTCTGGATTTTGGCAGGGAAATCTAGCTTTCACGGCTCTAAATCAAAACTGGGAGACCCGCAGATGTCGACAGGAATTCATCCATTCATTCCTAACCTGATCCTACACTGCAAGGAAAATAGGGGGTTTCAAATTTGATTTCTGAACAGAATTCTACACAACATCATCAAGATCACAGAATGTTTGAGAAATGTTCCAAACAAAGAGGAACCAGAAGTTCCAGAAAACTGAAATTCTGAACCTCTTGACCTTGTGGATTCATGTAGAATCCTGTTTGAAAATCAACTTTAAATCCCACTAATTTGTGCAACTGTTTGCAGTTGACATGTGATATTACAAAGGTGCCTTTGTAAAGTTGCATGTCAACTGCAAACAGTTGCACAAATTTTCCTTGCAGTGCATAAATACTGATTGAAATTCAAGAAATATGAATCAAGAAAATTACTTTTGGAACTTTGATTAAGAGAAAGAAGTGAAAGAAAGATGAATTACAATGGGGGCTGTTGTGGTTCAATTTTTTTCCAACAACATTGATCATCACTAACCACACAAAATGATCAGCTTGGAAGAATTTGGAGAAGTGACCAAGCTTTCCTCTGAATTTTTCTCTCACTTTGATCAACCAATTTCCCTTGTTATGACCCCATTGGGTCTCAGTGACCTTAACCCTCCCACATCCCTATCAAAACCAGCTCCTCCAGCTCCTTTAATTGTAGTTCTAATTCCTAATCCTAATCTCAAACTCTAAACCTAACCCCTAACACTCACTCCTAACCCTAAAAACTAACCCTAACCCCCAAGCCCTAACCCCTCCCTAGCCCATAACCCTAAACCCTAACCCACTGTCATTGTACAAATTGCACAACATAAGTTTATCATTTTGTCAAGAGCTCTAGTCATTCCAAGCCTCCTCTGACTTCTCCTGGATTGATTGAATTTAGGATTCATCATTAATTTGCATATAAATCTACATTTTTCTCCATCAATTCAATTTTCATCCTTCCTTCAAATTGCACAGATTTTTCGCACTCCATGCAATTTTAGTGGAATCCTTCAATCCTGAAATGAAACTCCTCTTCTCTATCACATCTTTCTTATCAGAAACAGTTTCTGAATATATTCAAGGTTTTTTGATATGTCTCACATAACATCCAATCCATTGGGACTCCAAAAGGGAAAGAAAAAATGATGATGTATACACAATGTGACAACAATTAATCTTTAAAATGATTGAGTTCCCTGAATTTTTGATGGATCATTGTGATGTTTCTTTTATAGATTCAAAAAGAAACCTAGCTACTCTGAAAGGCCTTGGATAAACTTTCATGGACCACTCCAAAGGATATCTCTCATCTCCAGGTATGAGCTTATTATATGAGCTATTAGCTACTTTGAGATTCAAATTCAAATCACAAAGGATGGGCAATTTTATTTATTCCAAAAAATTATATGTCTCCCCTGTCTTGGCACTTTGTGAGTGTTGTGCTGCTTGGTGATTTTGAGAACAATGATCAGCCATCTGATAATCCTTGGTTGAACCTTTTGGAAGCCATGATCTCAAAACAGGCAGTGCTCTTAGCATCCACCATGGTGGCTTGAGCTTGTTTGATTGTTTTTTGTTTATCCTCTGAATTTATATTGAACAAGGATTTCTGGTGCCCATGTTAGAGCCCTTCTTAGGTGTGACCCTTGACTGAATTAGCTGTGCTTGCCCTTCACACCTTTGTGTGGTGAATGTATCAACACATGCTGAGTACTATTTAGGAGCACATGATACGCATGTCTGGGCTTCGTGTGCAGATTCACACACGCGCGCACAACTTGATAGATAAAACCTTTCTTGTTGGGAAGATTGAATTTATTTGATAGTTAGTCGAGAATATGAAGGGGAAGTCTCTTGACTTAAGAGCTCTAGTCTAACTCTTGGGAGTGAAATCGAGAATGATTACATAAGCCGTCCTGTGTTGTGGGGATCGGATTACGTCATCACATCCACATATAATTAATTTCCGAATCGATTGACCTTACAAAGCCAATCCAATTTATTTTCCTACCGACAGT